GGGTCTGAGCGCTGCAGTGCCGCCGTCGGACGCGAGGGGCGCACTACCCGGCTGTGCGCATGCGCAGAGCGCCCCAGCGCACAACGCCGCATTAGGGTCTGCCCCGAAAAAAAGCCAAACCCGGGGTTTAGAATCATGTGGAAGAATTTGTTTCTTATTCACCAACCACGTCTTTGAGCCGGGTGCAGCTGAAGTGTTTTCTTTGCTCTGTGCTCAGTTACAGCCGTGTTTCATCTGGTTAAATTGGTGTGTAAATTGGTACCACCGTCAAACCCTTAAATAACTTTAAATATAAACTTGTAATTAGGCTAAGAGTTAAAGGTCAGTTCTAAAAGCAAGTAGCCAATAAACACAGGAAAGTTAATGAGCAAACCTTGTCTTCCTGCAGAGCACCCATAAAGCTTACATCAATCACATCGCCACTGTTGCCATCATCAGCACTCAATTCAAAGTCAAAGGCACCTGTGATGTGCTTTAACATCAGTGAAATACAGTGCTTGTATCGAATTGAAAAACCAGTTTAACCTACAGTTGCCATCATTCTTTTAAAAACAAGTTAAGGCTATGTACATTCAACCACACGTTGGCCTGACAGCATGTTAAGCTCTCAAGCAAGCCTCCAAGAGCCTACCTGTAAACTGGAAACCACACACAACCTTCTGTGATGGATCAGTCTTCAAACAAAAGAAGTGGTATTTTAACAGCTAATCGAGAAAACTCACTGGAAAGATTTACTTCTCCAATGAGATGTAGATGCAACTCATAAACCAAACAGGAAACTATTTCTATTTCTTATAAGCATTATACATCTAGCTATTAGAACGGACACATCCCAAGTTCTGAGGGTTAAGTTCGTTCACTGCCTGCTCGGATACAACTTCAGTGTACTTCCACAGCCCAGGGCTGCGCTCCAGCCTGGGTCTGATTTCTCTCAATCTCTGCTAGGGATGGAGTTTCACATTTTACATTCGCTGGAGCTGAAGTCAGAGCCCAGATTTCCTTCTACTTCCACAAGCACCTTATCAGCCAGCTACAGTTACCGAGTCATTTGCATCAACCTAAACCACTTCAACATACGTACCAACAAGAAAAACCTACAGCCATATGTTTAAGACGCTTCTTCAAAGCCAGAAACCATATTCACATTATTGATTTACTCAATTTGAAGTGTCTTGTCATCCCAGGACAGGACTTGAGGACTGGCATTCAAAAAGCAGGACTTTTTGGTTTGAAGCACTGAAGAAAATGTTTCTTTCTGGCCCAAATAATTGGCTGAGTTCAACTGGACTTTAGTAGCAGACTGCAGGCAGCTGAAGCTGATTTCATACAGGTGAAAGAATTTAAAGGGCAAATAATGGAAGAGAACACAACTACCAGCATAAGATGGCTCAGTTTCTTAAAAAAAAAGATATTTTAGGTCAGAGGAAGTCTGTTCAGATAAACCTTGTTTAGCTTCTGATCTTAAACAATGACCAGTTCCATAGGCAGATGCTTCAGAAAGGATTTCTCATAGCTTTGATATTCCACTCTCCCCTCCACACAGGGACATGGAATGCTGTCCCCACAGTGCTGCATTTTGAGGCAGATGCCCCTTTAGATCTGAACAAAGAGGTGGCAACACAAAACTACTGGAACAGCCACACACTCTTGGTTTGCTTTATGTCCTGGAAGACAGGACACAGGACACAAGACTCCCTGAGCTGCAGCAGGATAAAGTTATCTTTAATCATTAACTGCTAAGGCTTCTAGTTGTATATTAAAGTATGCAACAAATCAGCACCTGTACCTCTCCCAAGATGTGTTGTTCTAATTAGCTTTTCTGGCAAGACTAAATCTAACCATCTTTACATCTGCTTTTTTGGCTTTGTATTCCCATCAGCTTCTATGGCAGCTCAGAGACCCATCTCTCCCAGAACTAAGTACTTCCTTTGGACAGGTTACAAAGGCAAGCATGCTAAGCTACCTGAAGTTTTTATTCTCACCTTACTGCCATTATAAAGACAAGTGACAGTGTTTTTGAGAGAGAGTTAGAAGTCATAAGATCCTGCAATGTGGTATGAGCAACTGTAAGAGGAAATGAGGACACGTGCAGGTAGCTGGTTTTAAAATTCTACACTTCCTTTAAAAAGGTTTAATAGCATTATCTTAAGTAATCTCACAAACCACAAAAGACTGCCTGAAATGCAGAACAATCAAGTAGTATAACAACCCTCCCACCAAACCTAAACATTATACAGCTATATTCCTTTCTTTCTCAATACAGAAGAGTCATTCCAGGTGAGCAGCTGGTTTTTGGAACTGTCAAGGCTTGGGGCAAAACTACATGCAACAAAATGAAGTGTTAACATTAAACTCATGTTTTCTCTGTATTTTAATTTAAAGATTTGAGGTGCTATTGATCTGTAACATCTGTGCTTATAAGCAACTATGTTTACTATTTATTTGGACTACAGATCTCACCAAAACAGGTAACATACAACAGCAGGGCCTTCTGTTTAAATATTTCCCCCACTATTTGTCGGTTGAACAAACTTTAAGTTCCTGAAGTTTTTCACTGAGATAGGTAGTATCTGCCTCTGTCAGATTTTCCGAATCTGGCAGATTTTCAAGGAATCTCGTTCCTGCACAGGGTTTCCCTGTTATTGGATCTATGACTTTTCCAACCTTGAAAACAATTTCAGCCAGTTCATGTTTCACATGTTTGCTCCTTCGCTCAGGCAAAGCCTTCAGAAGAACAATGTCTCCAACAACACACTGCTGCAACGGATCATGGGCAAAATAGGTTTTTCGTTTGTTAAAGAACTGTAGAAGGAAAAAAAAGAAACAGTGGCATTAGATTTCAAAATTAAGCAATTGGCAAATATATAGTTAATATAAAACTAACTAAATTTCACTAAGAAGTTTTATATAGTTTTTAAAATTAGATACTTTTGTTCTGCTGTGTTAACTCTTTCTCTCCTTAGGATGCTTCACATCAGCAATGCTTCTTGCAAGACAGTTGCCTTGGCTCTTCCAAGCTGAATGACTTCCCTGTGCAGTCCAGGATTCAAGAACTGATGTTAATTCTTATTCATTCTACTATGTTTAAAGTTCTTCAGTCCTGAAATCAGTATTCTGATGTTTGTCATTTGAATTTTCTTGCTCAATTCGTTTTCTTTCATATAAAAATTCAGTATTTATTCTTACTAGAGTGGCAGAATTCAGAACCTTTAATAAAGAAATTAACAGGTTCTTCTACTGGATAAAATATTGGACTGATTATCTAATCCTGCATCTACTCTTAACCTTCTGGTCACCAAAGGCAACTTATTCCACCTCCATGTACCACAGTTTCTGTATCCAAAAATGGAGAAAATACCAATTTCAACCTCCCTGTTTGAAATGCATTAACAAGAAGTGATAAACACAAAGCTCCTATAGCACATCACAGTATAGATTCAAATACTAGCTATGCCTACAATTATGCATACAGGAAAACTGCTACAGAATTCACTGTAAAAGTGACTAATGTCAAGTTTCCAAATCAAAGCATACTCCAAATCAATATGAAAAATTAAATCAAAGTGTGAAACAACAAAAATTTACCTTCTCAACTAAGATAAAATGAAGTGCATTAACAAAGCACTTCAAAGAAATACATTTAGCAGGTAATTTGTAAGGAAGTGCCCTCACAACACACTGCTTGTCATCCTTCGCAGTCACACCCCACAACTGACAATCATTGGGCGTGTTCCTTAAGGAGTTTGCCTTGTAAAGAGCTATCAAAAATCGTGAGTCAAATCAATAAAACATTCCTCTGGACAGAAAAAAGATTACCATGCAAGACAAGTTGTTAACCAGCTTTTACCTTTAGCAAGTAAGGATCTAGCACAAGCCTTGTCACTCTCACTTTGGCAGTTTTCTGCATTTTGGTTCCTATTACTTTCCCCACTATCCACTTTGCATGGACAGCTCCACGTGGTACAGACATTGTTTAGTTATGGTCATCCAGCGCCTGGCAATAAGCAAACAGACATGTCATTTTAAGCAAACCACCCCCCCATAAAACCTTCCCATAACCAGTTTCTGATCAATGCCAAAATTATGATTCCCATTTCAGACTAACAGCTTAACTAGGTCATTTTGTTGGAAAACCAGGATAGATACAAGCAGCTAAAAAACTTCATATATTGCACTACTCTCAGCCTTCTTCTACAGTATAAAAAGGGATATTACTATGTCCCCATTACCAGGGAAAATTACTTCAGGATGACAGTAAAAATGGACATAATAACATAAAGATGTGATCTTATGCCACAAATTCCCCAGAATTCCTTTGAATCATGTCAATTGCCACATGAACAATACAAGAACGTGTAGCTGGGGAAGTCAGGAATTTAACTCACTCCAGCAGCTGTTTTCGCTGGAGACCTGTGTGTCAGGTCTGCGTGTGACCAGAGTTAATCCAAACAGGGAACAGCCTTAGCAAGTGATTTGCTCCTGTGTATCTCAGTATTACCTGAGCTGATGAAACCTAAGGCAGTTAATAAGCTTCTCAAAGCACAAATGACATATCGATGAGTTGCCTGACCTACAGTAAGTGTAATCACTTTTGAGTTAGTTTATTCCTCTACGTAATTACACTCCATTACCTTATTTAATTAGGGTGAGCTTTCTATACCACTTTTGCAAAAGTCATGGGCAAAACAGATTGCTAAACATTAGAAGACCTGAACCAACATTAAAACTGGAGACTAATAACCTTCTTCTCTCCCACCCTGCTATGTCCTGTTAAACACAACTGTTCAATTCTCCTTCTACCCAGTTTCTAAGATTCTATGACACTTGCTTTTATGTTGCAACACATCAAAAGCAAAGCCTAGGGACAAACAGACACTTGCACAGGATGAAATGCTTCAAGCAGCAATGCTCAGGGTTGCTTTTACCAGCCTTGGCTCAGCTGCGTGACCCACAGGGCTGGAGCAGGGAGTGAGAGACCCTCCTGTAACCCAGGGCTAACCCCCACCCCCAGCGACCAGGCCAGGGAGAGACAAACCCTTACATGACACCCATAGAGCGCAAGGGAGCTGCCGGGAGGACAGGAGACAGACACCATCTCCCGCAGAGAAAGGGATAGAAGAGGGAGTTCCAGCAGGTCTGGAGCCTTTCGCCCCCCGGCTCTCCAGAGC